TAATGTATTGCAACTCGAGACTTTCATTTGTTCTTCAGTTCCTTCAGATTATGAAATTCTTACATGTTTGGCCATTTGATTTTCTGACCATAGCTCCTTGCACATTTCATTATAATACTTTATTTTGACTTCCCGACCTTCCCTGAGAAATCTTCTGTTCAGTTTCTAAACTTCCAGCTTCCTTCCCTTGGTTTTGGCTTCTTGGTGCTCTAGCACAATATTCACAGTCTCTTCTGACATCCATGTGGGGCTTTTCTTCCTCCTCTTTTTAATGACCTTTTGCATTCTTCATTCATGGTATTAGTGCTATCCTCCCACATCCCACTGTCTAACTGGTCTTCGTACATTAATGCTCAAGGCCTCAAATCTGGTGGGTAGACTTAAAATCAAGTTTTCGTTCCTTTGGATTAGGTTTAACCTTCTTTAGCTTTAGTTGTACTTGCAGATGATATTCTGCTCGACAAGCAGCGTCTAGCCTAATTTTCCCAGATGATATTGAGCTTTCTTTTTGGGAGGGGTGTGTGTGTGGCAGTTATGATTGGTTGTGTTTTTTTTAATTTATTAATAATTTCAATGAAAGTTTACAGAGACTTTGGATTTCTACTCATTCATTGTTGCATTTTTCTCCCCTCCCAACTCTCCCCCCAGTACACTACCCTCTTGGAAAAGTAAAAGAAAAATTCTTTGTTTTACAATCCCTCCCTCCAGGTCCACTCCACTGTGCAGCCTTCGCTCTGGACTCCTGTCATGACAAAAATACCTAATCACATATTCCTTTTAAACAGTTTTCTCCCTCATCAGTTTCAATGCATTATTGAACCCATCTTCTCTGTCTCCCCCCTCCGCAACCTCGAGGTCAGTCCTGTTTTACAACAGTGGCACCATGCAGTACTTGTCCCTTTGTGACTGAGATAGAGATATTTCACTCAGCATAATGTCCTCCAAGGTCAACCATTTTGAATAATATTGCATGAGTTCCTTGTTTTTCTTTTTTTTTAATTATTACTAAATTTTATTACTTTTAGTGAACATTTACAGAGATTTTGGGTTTTCATTCATTCATTGTTGCACTGTTTTCTCTACCCTCCTCCCCAGTTCGTTCTTCTTCCCCCCCCCAAATGTCTGTTTTAATTGTCCAATTGCCACAGTGCTTGTTGAAGCCAGTTCTGATTAATCTCCTTTGTCAGTGTGTCCTTTGCCATTCCCTGTCTCTCCTCCCTGAGAGAGACTTCGCCCTGATTCATAAGGAAAAGGGGATGGCGTATTCTCTTAGCTACTTCCTGCTGTAAAGGGACGCTGTAGGTTTCAGGATGAAGATCTTCTCTCACTACTCTAAAGGGCCCCTTTGGCAGTGAGTTCCTTGTTTTTCAATGCAGCATAGTATTCCATTGTGTGAATATACCACAGCTTCTCTATCCATTCGTTTGTTGATGGGCACTTAGGTTGTTTCCACCTCCTTGCTACTGTGAACAAAGCCATGAAAAACATGGGTGTGCATATATCTGCTTGAATGTCAGTTATGGTCTCTTTGGGGTATATTCTCAGTAGTGGAATTGCTGGGTCAAATGATATCTCTATTTGCAACTTTTTGAGAGAGTGCCATACCACCTTTCACAGTGGTTACACCATTTTACACTTCCACCAACAGTGAATAAGGGTTCCAGTTTCTCCACAACCTCGCCAGCATTTGTTGCTTGCTGTTCTGTTAAATTTTGTTGTTCTGACTGGGGTGAGATGATATCTCATAGTTGTTTTTATTTGCATCTCTCTTAGAGCTAGGGATTTTGAACATTTCTTCATGTGCTTGTTAGCAGCCATCTGAATGTCTTCTTTGGTGAAGTATCTGTTCATATCCTGTGCTCATTTTTCTATTGGATTGTTTACCTTTATTTTGTTGTGGTGCTCAAGTACTTTATAAATTCTGGATATAAGTCCCTCATCAGATATGTCATTACCAGATACTTTTTCCCAGTCTGTGGTTTCCTTTTTACCCTGTTGGAGAAGTTTTTGGATGTGCATATTGAGCTTTCTAACAATTCTTTCCACAGATATAATCAATCTGATTACTATACATAATATCAGGTGAAATCCAAGTGCATAGCTTGTGTTTATGTTTCTTATAAAAGTCATTTTCAATGAATAAAACATTGGTTGTACAGGATTATATCATTCTGTCCCCAGCCTCATTTCTGTCACCAAGTCTGTGTTTGCACTACTACTCCTTTTTCCCTGCTCCTGACTTTTGCATTCCAGTCACCTATTATTACGTATGCATCTTTGTTGCATGTTCAGTTGATTTCTGACTGTAAAATAGGTAGAAATAATTTCTTTGCTTCTGTCCACAAGCTGCCCTGTGAACGCCAAAATTTAAAGGTGGCCTTGACCTGCGGACTTCTGGGATCCATAGTCTCTCGTACCTGCGTAGTGTAAGAATCACTGAGAGAAATCCCTCCAAGCATGCTGTGTGTCCTCTGTCTTCCCATCCCTTCTGTCAGCACATGGCCGACTGAACTCATGAACCACTCTACCCATCTACTCCTCTACACCTCTACCCCTCTGTTTCTTTACCCCTCTACCTCTCTACCACTCTATCAGCTCTCTTATTCAATATTGTAATAGAAGTCTTAGCAATAAGGCAAGAGAAGGAAATAAGAGGTATTCAAATTGGCAAAGAGGAGGTAAAATTATCTCTCTTTGCAGATAACTTGATAGTATACATTGAAAACCGTAAAGACTCACCAAAAAAATTGTTGAGCATTGTTGACCAAGGATACAAGATCAACATCCAAAAATCAATTGGATTTCTCTACAGTGACAAAGAGAATACAGAACTGGATTTGAGAAAAACAATACCCTTCACAATAGCTAATCACAAGCTTAAATACTTGGGAGTAAACCTAATCAGAAGCACAAAGGATCTATTTAAAGAAAATTACAAATCATTATTACAAGAAACAAAAGATACCTGGAAAGGTTAAAGAATATCCCTTGCTCATGAATAGGAAGACTCAATATTGTGAAAATGATAATACTACCAAGACAATTTACATGTTCAATGCAATCCCAATACAAATACCAATTTCATTCTTCAATGAGATGGAAAAGGCAATCTCCAATTTCATTTGGAATGAAGAAGATGCCCAGAATCAGCAAAAAATTCCTTATAAAGAAAAACAAGGTAGGAGGCATCTCACTCCACAATTTCAAATCCTACTATAATGCCATGATGCTCAAGACGGTGTAGTATTGGTACAATGACAGACACAAAGATCAATGGAATAGAATTGAGAATCCAGAAATCAGCCCATCTATCTATGGTCAACTGATTTTTGACAAGGAGATGAAATCAGGTAAGTGGGGAAACAACAGCCTTTTTAACAAATGGTGCTGGCAAAATTGGAAAACTATCTGTAGAAAACTCAAGCAAGATCCACACCTCTCTCCATATAAGAAAACCAATTTGAGGTGGATTATGGACCTATGACTAAAACCCAGGACTGTAGACTTCATTAAAGAAAAGCTTAAAAGAACTCTGGAAGTCCTAATTCACAACATAAACAGTCTTTCAAGCAGGAAGTCCAGAATGAAGGCTGCACAGTGGAGTGGACTTGGGGGAGGGATTGCATAACAATACCTCCCCACCCACCTCTTACTACTTACCTTGGGTAAGCTCCTTTTCCAGGTTGCCATCTGGCTTTTACATGATTGCTTACTTAAAACAAGCTTGGAAGGAGGAGTGGCATCCACTTCTGTAATAGCTTGCCTCCAGAAACCCTATGAACCTGGAAAGAGGATGAAAGACACCCAAGCGCTGGGGACTCTCCTTCATAGAGTCGACTTGACGGCACTTAACAACAACAACAACAACATTTCTTCAATTGGGTTTTTCCCCCCACAGATGAAAATGGTAACTTTAGCTTAGAGCCAACCTTAACTGGAATCAGGTGTTCCTTATCCCAGGCATACCAATTTTTTCCCTTTTAATTACATGGTCATGGTGAAGGCAGAATCTATGTTCGTCATGTCTCAGAAGGCCTGGAACTCTGATAAAATAAAAATTTGTTACTCATTTAAAACTCTATTTTACTTAATTTTACCCTATCATGTAGGCAGTGTTTGTTCTTTGTAGTGGAATCTTACCAATTTTTATTGGTATCTGAGCTATAGGTACTGTTGTACTGTGAAAGCCTAGAGCATTCACATTGCAACTTATTTCATCCACCAAATTTGGAAGAAATTTTAATAAGGCTTCCTGAGAAAGTTGAATGTTTATTGCATGTGCATTCAGCTGAATGGTTCTCAAGATGGTAAAAGTTGCTCTCAGCAGCACACGCTTTGGATGCAGAAAAAGAACCACCAAGTTCACAGTAAGGCTCCTTCTCTAAAATCTTTTGGTGTGCCAAGCATTTTGTTACTCTGTTCTTTCACCCAGGCCTCTTCTAATTTCTATAATTATACTATCATTATGTAATGATAGTATAATATAATTATACTAATACCCTGTATTCCTCACCACTGCCCAGTCGTGTGACTTTCCTATGACACATGGAAGTCGAAAGCCAAATCTTTCTTCCTAATTCTCCATCATCTGGTAGTTCCACTGCAGCCTGTTCAGCATCCTGGCAGTAAATAAGCTTCTGCTGACAGATGAACAACAACTACACACAAGGTAAATTGACCAGGAATGGAACTCAGATCTGCTCCTTGCAGATGGTGTCAAATAGATGTGACTAGTGGCTCTTAGGGAGAAAAAACTGGCAAGCGGCTATCTTTGAGTTGTCTTTTGTTATTCATGGTTTGTTTGTTTGTTTGTTGATGCATTTATTTCCCTGTAGAAAATTTTAATTGTACAACTGAACCAATAATGCTTACATCTTATCAATTGATTAGAATGGTTTGGGTATCCACAAGGTTCTTCTTCCTTCCATTCATAACCATCAAAGATAATCTTAAAAATCTATTTTAGGGCGGGGCGCGGTGCCCTGTGGTCAGTAACCGACGTGTGCGGGCTGTGGCGCGCGCAGAGAGTCCTGGCCGTGGCCCCAGCAGCCTGAGGCCCAGGCGGGTGGCCTTGTCCGGCGATGCAGCAGGAGCTGGGGGGAACCGAGTGGACGCCCGGCCCGAGCGCCTGCGGGCTAGGAAGCCACCTGGCTGGGGCGCCCCCAGACATGGACGCCTTAGAGGAAGAGAGTGTCGCGCTGTCCATCTCTTCAGCCACTGATGCAGAATTTGATGCTGTGGTCGGGTATTTAGAAGACGTCATCATGGATGATGAGTTCCAGTTGCTTCAGAGAAATTTCATGGACAAGTACCAGGAGTTTGAAGACACAGAAGAGAATAAAATTACCTACACACGTATTTTTAATGAATATATTTCTTTGGTAGAAAAGTATATTGAAGAGCAGCTGCTGGAGCGGATCCCTGGGTTTAACATGGCAGCTTTCACAACATTACAGCACCATAAAGATGAAGTGGCTGGGGACATATTTGACATGCTGCTCACATTTACAGATTTTCTGGCTTTTAAAGAAATGTTTCTGCACTACAGAGCAGAGAAAGAAGGCCAAGGACTAGACTTAAGTAGTGGATTAGTGGTGACTTCGTTGTGCAAATCATCTTCCCTGCCAACCTCCCAGAACAATCTGCGGCACTAGGTCCCTTCTCTGGCCCAGGGACTCATCTGGACGTCGCCATCCCAAAACACTGGGAGAGGCTAATGATGGCAGTATCCACCCTGGAAGGACTGTGAAACTCCTCTTCATGTTAAATATTGTGTGTCAAAAAGAACATTTCCTGACCCTCCTGGGGCCTCTCTCCTGAACACCCTCTTGTATTCAATAATCCCAATATGCCTCCCACAGTACACGCCTCAGGTGCTCCCACGTCAGACGCTCTCTCTGCAGCACACAGTGTGCAGTAACCACCGTCATGAACTTGCTTTGTCACAGCTAGCTTTACAGGAATTAACACTCACAGCTTTCACTCGGCTCAGTTTT